ATGCAAAGTGACCTTCCATTTTGAAGAGCATCATCAATGTACTTTCCACGCAAGTTTTCCCATACTTTCATTACTGCTGGTTGGAGGTAGTACCTTTGATGTTTCATGAAAGTATCCGTTGAAATACTTGGCATATTCATAAACTGTAGTACATGTAAAGTTTTTGATGCTAATGCCCCAGCAAACAAAATTCCACATGAAAGTCTAAGATTTCCACTTGGAATGGAACCTATCATGGATTGGCTGTTCCATTTTGTGCTTAGTCCACAAAAAACACAATTCTGCTCCACTCTTACCATTGTGCCACATATGTGTGTGATTTCACCTAATGTAGGTGAAGAGCATCTGGTACATGTGTGGAATAAATTCATGAGTTGAGCTTCCCAAACAACAAAGAATCAATTTTTCTGCAAACACCTATAATTAAGAAAAATAAACTAAATTATATTTATCGTGTAACACATTTTTACCATTAACCATGTTACCTGAAGCTGCTCAGTGCTCACCAAGTTTACCTAAATTCATTCACAAACTTTCCTATTTATATTTTATTAAAACTTACCAATCATCAGCACTTGAACATGAAGCATGTGATTCACATTCTGACTGTTCATATGTCTCATCAGAATCAGTTGTTGCATTAGCCTCTGAACCAAGTTGTGTCAAGTTCATCGTCTGGGGGTTGTTCTTGTATTGTTTGGTTTGGTTTCAGGAGATCACATTGTACTTGAACACTTCTTGTTTCTGGAGGATGCAACATTTCTGTCTGGCAAACTGTAATGCAAAAAACACAGTCAAGTTCAACATACAATACCATATGTATATTGATAACAGATGAAAAAGCATAACATCTACAACAGGATCTGAGCTAAATATGACTGGTTATTTGTCCCATCTGAAAAACTGGCAGTGTGTTGGAAAACTTTTGATAAAAAAAATTTGAGGGTAAGAGAAAAAATATATACTCATTGTCAACCAACCAGATAAATTAGCATGCTGTTGAAACAACAACCCAACAACAATTTAATGTACCAATCATACATACCTTTATTTGATCCAAAGGGCTTTACTTGTACATGCACACTTCTCTTATTAGGCTGCTTGTAAGATATTTGAGTGCCATATGTTCTAACAGTCTTGGTTAAAGTCTTGAATGTAAAACAAAATTTAGGAAGTGATTATTTCATTACAGTAAAGGGGTTAATTATTCACTGGGTTTTAATTTTGCTTATTTCACTGACTGGAAAATGCGCTAAATTAAAACCCTGTGAATATTTAAAATTTAATATAGAACACATTATCTAAATGATGAAACCCACTGAATATGCCTGAAATGGTAAATCAGCAAAATTTAAACCCAGTGAAAATTAGTCATTTTACAGAATATGCAAAACATAAACACACAAGCAAGTTTAAATTCTTGCAAATGTTCAGTACCTGAATAGAGCTGACAGGAAGAGAATCAGTGTCCTGTACTTGGTGGCTTGTGTCATCGTCATGGGTGTCCTCCGAATACTGCAGAGTTACCTGTATCAAACAATGATTACAAATAATAATGTATGAAGAAAATTAATGTTCATCAGACAAGTGAACGTACGTAATAGTCATAGTCAGTCGTTATGTGTAAACATAGACATACTCGCGGTAAATTCGAATTCAGTGCGCGGCACATAGTTGCACATGAACGAATACAAATACTTACCCTAGCATTTTCTCTTTTAAGAAAAGCAATCCTTGGCCTTTTATGTGTTGACACAGCTGGATACGCTGGACTTGTATCAGTGTTGTTACTAATACTATCAGCCAAGACGCCGGTATGAATTGTTGGTACGGCATCTTTGTGCAAAGTTTTCCTTCCCGGAACTTGTCCCATCGCACGCGTAAACTTGTATTTTGCCCGGTAGCACTCGTCTGTGAAATGGACTGAGCAAAGCACGGAATGCTTTGTAGGACCATGCCATTTAGCTCTTTTCACCTGAACAAACTTCGTCCAAAGTTTGCTCAAAGACGGTCTGTCGAGGGGGAATGCGTGGAGCCAAACACCGTCGAGGTTCGTGTTCCAGCACCCGAAAGCAATGCAGCGTTTACCTCGTCTGTCACAATGACTTGACATTACTACCAGTAGTTTAAATACGAAGTCCAAATAAATAATAAACTTTCCAAACGCAACAGTTCACGTCTTTGGTTGCAATACCACTAAAATAAAACCGTAGAACATATACGAAAATCAACAATAACACAGCTGATCACGAACGACATTTACATACGGTTTACATATCAATGGCGGCAAACTGATCAGGGCGGTCACACTTATGACGTCATATCCAAGAGGTCATGTAAACGAGGTCAAACCGGGGGAGCTTAGGTGTGAATTTTACAGAATCCGCTATATTTCGTCATCAGATTTTAAAACAAATTTCCGGTGTTTGATATTTAAATACAAGATAGTAGAATATGAAATAAAATCTAGCGTTCAGTGTACACTTTAAATGCATCTTCCAATAGTTATAGGCGTCTTCCAATAGTTATAGGCATCTTCCAATGGTTAGGCATCTTCCAATGGTTATAAGCATCTTCCAATGGTTCTAAGCATCTGCCAATAGTTAGGCATCTTTCAATGGTTATAGGCGTCTTCCAATGGTTATAAGCATCTTCCAATGGTTAGGCATCTTCCAATAGTTATATGCATCTGCCAATAGTTAGGCATCTTCCAATGGTTCTAAGCATCTTCCAATGGTTATAGGCATCTTCTAATGGTTATAGGCGTCTTCCAATGGTTCTAAGCATCTTCCAATGGTTAGGCTTCTAATGATTATAAGCATCTTCCAATGGTTCTAAGCATCTTCCAATGGTTATAGGCATCTTCTAATGGTTATAGGCGTCTTCCAATGGTTCTAAGCATCTTCCAATGGTTAGGCTTCTTCTAATGGTTATAGGCGTCTTCCAATGGTTAGGCTTCTTCTAATGGTTATAGGTGTCTTCCAATGGTTCTAAGCATCTTCCAATGGTTAGGCTTCTTCTAATGGTTATAAGCATCTTCCAATGGTTATAAGCATCTTCCAATGGTTAGGCTTCTTCTAATGGTTCTAAGCATCTTCCAATGGTTAGGCTTCTTCTAATGGTTATAAGCATCTTCCAATTGTTCTAAGCATCTTCCAATAGTTATAGG